AGGGTAAATCATTGACCACTTGAAGCTGCGAGGAGAGTTGGGAAGCCTGGGGTAAAGGGCACCTCAGCCACTAACTCACTCAGGGCAGGAGTGTGAGCTCTTTGCTCTTTAGATTTCCCCATCAGTAGAAGCAGAGATGACCCAGGCTTGGAAAGATAGAGCCATCAAGTAAAATCAGTCAGCAGATTCAAGGAGCAAAGCACTAATGTGATCTCTGTGCTGTAAGAAGCTCAGTGTATTTCAGGAATGTGGACTTGAGCCACTGTAATAAGCAGACTTTCAAAGACAGTTACAGAAAATGAACCTCTTCATCCTTTAGAAGCAGGGGTTGAGGGGGGACTCTTGTCTCAATGACTAAGTTGGGATAAAATACATACTGATTCTGACCTGGTCTTTTTATTGCCATTTTCTTAATAAGAAAATCCCACTCCTTCCCCCAATGAGTGGCTTTGCCATGTGCCTGACTAGACTTCCAGATGAAGGAAAGGCCAGTAAACATGGAACAGCCTCCGCCATCTCTGGTAGAAGGTGAACGTCCTGTCTATGCACAGAAGGCTTTATGCTGTAATTCATCTTTCCAAAAGGAGAGGCTTGCAAAATGCAGATGCTGATCCCTGCTCTGACCTCTGGGATGGGTGCCAGCGTTTGTGCTGGCCCTTTCATTCAGTCACAGAGAAAAGCCAAGAAGTGAACTGATATTTTCCATCTCTCATCATGAGTCAGCCTGGCTTGCTTAGTTGTATGAAATTCAGAGTCAAGAGACACCCCCCCTCAGAGTTTCTTAGGCAAAAATTTACTCTCCCTTTAAGGGATTCTCTACGTTCTTGTGTTGTTTCTGAAAAGGGTGGTCCTGAGAGTTATAAATCCCAACTCTTTTCTGTCTGGCCTACTCAAATTCTAAGAATGCTAAAGTCCAGGGCTGGAGTGATGGTTCAGCAGTTAAGCCAATGCACTGCTCTTGCAGAGGACTGAAGTTCAGGTTCCCAGCACCCTCTTGGGTGGCTCATAGTCATCTGTAACTGCAGCTCCAGGAAATCTGTCACCCTCTTCTGGCTTCTGCAGGCGTTGGACTCATATGTACAAATCCAAAACACAGACACACGCATATACACATAGTTAAAATCTTTTAAAAAAATGTTAAAGTTCTTTGTGTGTGTGTGTGTGTGTTATTTGAGACAGGGTCTCCCTATAGCCCCAACTGGACTGGAACTTGCTATGTAGACCAGGCTGGCCTTGCTCTCACAGAGATCTGTGTGCCTCTGCCTCCTGTATGCTGGGATTAAAGACAATGCTAAAGTTCTTAATCTGGAGTATTCATAAGAATTGCCTGAGGAATTTCCTGAAAAGATAGATTCTTGACCTCTGTGGGCAAATGTGGAGAAGGATTCTGAATTCTAATATATATATACATCGTCTTTTTGAGACAGGGTCTCCCTGTAGCCCCAGCTGGCCTGGAACTCACTTTGTAGACCAGGGTGGCCTCGAGAAGCTAGAGAGATGGCTTAGTGCTCTTGTAGTACCCACATGGCAGCTAACAATCGTCCAGAACTCCAGTTCCAGGGGATGCAACTCCCTCTTAGGTCCTCCATGGGCACTGCACAACACAGGTACACTTGCATACATGCAGGCAGCACACTCATACACATAAAAAATAAGCTGGGCATAGTGGTGCATGCCTTTAATCCCAGCACTCAAGAGGCAGAGACAGGCGGATCTCTGTGAGGTGAGTTTAAGGTCAGCCTGGTCTCCATAGTGTATCCAGGCCAGCTGTGGCTCCAGAGAAACCTTGTCTCAAAGACTAAATAAATGAATGAATGAATGAATAAATAAATAAATAAATAAATAAATAAATAAATAAAATTTTAGTTTATAGTTTTGCTTAGTATTTTGAGATGGGGGCTCACATACTGCCACAGCCTCCCTAGGTCTAGGGTTCAAGGCATGTACCACCATGCCTGGTTATTACTTTTTTAACCAGCACATAGTAATTATATGTACTTATGGAGTAGAACATGATATTTTAGTAGCCACATATATATTATGATCACACCTGAGCATTTGACGAATAAGCTCAGATAGTTCTCATCCCTTTGTATTGGGAATGTGTAAACTCCTCTCTGCTAGTTCTTTTAAAATGCTTGATTATCTGTCATCAGCCCTGTTATATGTAGAGCAAGAAGCGTTTCCTCATGCCCACCTGCACTCCAGGTGTTAACCATTCCCCTCCATCCTTCCCTCAACCACATCATTCTCAGACTCTACTGTCTACTTTCATGAGATCAAGGTTTTAGTGTTTACATTTATTTGAGAACATGTGGCATTTGTCCTTCTGAGCCTGACACTGGTCACCTAACATAATAGCCTCCTGTTCTGTTTATGTTGTTGCAAGAGACAGAATTTCATTCTTTTCATCACTAAATAAGACTCCATTGTGTAGACAGCTTACCATGTTGTCTTTATTCTAAGTTGATGGCATTTCTTGGCTCCTGTGTATCATACTGTAGTAAACTCAAAGGGCAGATGTTTCTTCAACATGATTTCATTTCCTTTGGCTACATAGCCAGTAGTTGGATTGCTGGGTCATAGAGCAGTTCTATTTCTGGGTTTCCTTTTTTGCTTTGTTTAGTTTTGGAACCTCCATAGCATTTTCCGTAATGGCTCTACTACTTCACATTCTACCAACTGTGTAGGAGAGCTCCCCTTTTTCCACCCCCAGCATTTGTTATTTTTTGTCTTTTGGATTATAGCCATTTGGGATGAGATAAAATTTTCCTTTTAGGCTGAGCATGGTGGCAACACCTTTAATCCCAGCACTTAGGAGGCAGGAGCAGGCAGATCTCTGTGAGTTCAAGGTCAGCCTGGTCTACATAGTAAGTTCCAGGCCAGCTGGGGCTACAGGGAGACCCTGTCTCGAAAAGACCAAAAAAATTTTTTTTTTCCTTTTTGATACATGGCACCAGGATTTCTGATTCAAGGGTCGGCACAGTGACCTTGATGATGTCCAAGGGCCCTGGGCCCAGCTAGGACTACGCTTGCACACATACCACAGGTGTTCCTTTTATAAGTTGAGCACTAGCTGTTTCTTTTATAGCTGCACTTAAACTTGGATAAATAAATTATCTGATAATAACAATTTTTAGGCTTATCCAAATAGCTTAGGAGGAGCACGTGCTTAGAAGGTGGAAAGGCCTGGGTGTGGGCCTCTGTGCTCACACTAGCTGTGACTTTGGCTTCTCTGAGGTCCAGTTTCGCAGTCCATCAAATGGCAGCAATATGACCCATCTCCCTGCTAGGCAAGGGTGGTAAGACTGGAATAAAGTGACTTGCCTGTAAGCACCAATAACTGTGCCCAGTGTTAGTAAACTATCTGATAATCATAACTTTGCTTGCTCAGAAACAAGAATAACTGGAGGAAAATAAAAGCCATGTTCTCCATCACGATTGGAGCAGATACAGTTAAGGGAACCTTTTTCTTAATGCCCAAGTGAATAGATTTTTGGCCTTGATACATATCACTCTCAAAGTCTGTGGTTGTTTGGAAAGTGATAGCATGGGGGGGGGGCTCCTTAATTCTTTTAGTAAATAGAGAGTTCTGTTGTAAATACAGTTTTTAAGGAGAGATCTCAGTAGATAGATAAAGGAATGCCAGTGACTTAGAATGCAGGTCCCCCTCCTGTACATTCCTGGGATCGAGGGCAGAGAAAGCAGGTCAGATGTTAATCCTGAAACTACACCTGCTCTTGGTCAAAATCTCACAAGAACCACCTTGTTCTTCAGAAATTAAGCCAGTAATGGATTATTTGGACTGTCTCGCCCAAAGCCTTTTTATGCAAAATGAGAATATGGTGAGGTTCTGAGCAAAAGAATGAGCCATTATACACGCCTGCAGCACACAGCAAGCTTCTTGCTGAAAGGTGCTTTCTAGGTTGGGTTTCAGCAGTCTCTGTGCCGCACTCACTGCCCAATGCAGTTTTCCAATTTGAAAAAAAAAAGCATCTCTGCTCTTTGTGTTGGTTGAATAAGTATAAGCTCCTTGTTCGTATCTCATAATACATACGTAGAACACAATACATTTTTATAGATCGTATGGGCTCCGATGATCACTATCAGAAAAGGACAGCAACAAGGGTCTGTTGGCATTCTCTGGCCAAAGAAACTAAGAATGACTTGATCACACTTTGTTGGCTGAAACCCAGGTGGCCCCTCATTACCTTCCCCCCGACCTTCTGCACAGTTCAGGTTGTACATATTATTAGGCCAGGGCAGCCATAATTTCTATTTCTGGAAAGTGAATAATTTCTGTGAGTCCGTCATATGTACCCCTACTTGGTCTGATAACCTCTGCTTTGTGGGAAAGAAAGTAGGTGCAGAGGGATCCAGAGTTCCCAGATGGTTATTATTTTTAAATTCGTGCCGGAAGTCTGTGTAAAGAACTGGAATCTTTGTAATGGGCCTTCAACAGATTTACTGAGTCTTGCAAATTAAGATCAGGAAATACTCTCTGGTAATATGGATGAGAAACTGTCCCTTCTAATTCATTACCAATGCATGAGCATCCTGTTCTGTCAGAGGCGTTGGGGAGAAAAAGTACAACTGGGGAGAAAAAAACTGAACTGTAGGAAAATAAGTTCCTCCTTTAAGGAACTTATTGTCTAAGGTGAGCTGAAACCATGCTTTCTAAGTCAGCAAGACGACATGCTGCAAACACGAATTGTGAACTACTAAGGCAAACCAAGATCGTATAAGACCTGAAATTGGGGAGGAAGGCAGAAGACAGTCTCCACAGAGAACAAGCTTATGTGTCCCTAGTGGACTATTAAGGCCACTACTGTCCTGGTTTCCTGTGGATCCAAGATAATGGGATGGGGGTGCACTCAGCTCATGTTGAATTGTTATGTGGCTCATTTGATACTGCATGTTGGAGATCATTATGCATCCTCGTGAAGACAGTTTTGTAGACATGCTTCATCCTCACCTGGATCTTTTGCTGTTTCTTCCAGTGGCCCATCCTCAAGACCCTCACCACCCATCAGAGAAGCCTGTCATTCACTGCCATAAATGTGGGGAGCCATGCAAAGGCGAAGTGCTTCGGGTCCAGACCAAACATTTCCACATCAAATGTTTCACCTGCAAAGGTACAGTACCTCCAGCATCTCACTTAGGGGCATGTTGCAGCCAGTGCCCAGAATGTCAACTTGCCATACCTGAGAAGTAGGAACCTCAGTTGATGAATTTCCTTCATTAGACATGCCCATGGGGCATTTTCATGATTGTTAATTGATGTAGGCATGTCCAGCCCACGGTGGGTGGTATCATTCCTAGGCAGGTGGGCCTGCCTGAGCTATATGAGAAAAGTAGCTGAGCAACCAGAGGAAGCAAGCCAGTAAGCAGCGTTCATCTGCAGTCTCTTCTCAGTTCCTGCTTCAAGCTCCTGCCTTGACTCTCCTCAGTGATGGACTGTAAGCCCAAGAAAGCATTTCCTCCCCCAAGTGGCTTTTGATCAGTATTTTATCACCGCAACAGAGAAACAAACTAGGGAGACAAACATCCCTAGGCCCCTGGATGGTGTGTGAATGCTTTATGAAGTTCTGGCATCATTCTCCTCTAGTTTGGGACTACATTAGATTGGGGGGGGCAGATCCTCTCAAGCCCAGTGGGTCACAGGTCTTGACACATTCATTGAGACCTAGCTCCTGGGAAGAGAGGCTTTGTGGAGAGGCAATGAAACTGAAGTTCTGAGTTTTGCATTTTCTCTATGAAACAAGTCACTCCTAGTAAAGTCACTTCACTCGAGTATCCATTAACTATAGGAAGACTGGGACACGTTTAAGATTGGGTACTAAGTCATTGTGTGTATATAGACACACACGTATTTCGGGAAGTTAAAATTAAATGGAAATATTCTTGAGGCATCCAAGCAGGAAAATATCTCCCATCCAAACACTATCAACTAAAGATTGATGTCTATTTACAAGCCCAGCTCCCACAGTTCACAAAGGATGGCATGTTAGTATGGAATCCCCTGATTTGGTTCCAGAGCCAGGGTGTGGCTGACAGGGAGGAGAGAGTGGTTAATGCGTTTGAGAAACAAGTCAGTTGAGCTGAGGGTGTTTCTGGGTACTAGGGATGTGCATGTGAGCAATGCTGGGGTGCAGAGGAAGGAATTGCAGGGCCTCTGAGCTTGCCCTGTGGCTTCCCTCAATTCTCTCACGTGTTCACCCCCCGCCCATTCCTGGGAACTGAGCTTCCTTCCAAGCACTGAAGGTTACAGAGATTCTGCTATCCCTAAGCCATGGCCTGGAGGCTCCCAGGTAGATTCTAGGCTACATGGCGATCCTCAAATACGGGAAGGAGGAAGAGTGCTTTCCTTGACTCTGTAGTTGTTTCTTCCACTGAGTGTAAGCTTTTCAGTAGAGAAGCTAGGATGAAAAGATGGGAGGAGAGGGTAGGAACTTAGCTCTGTCATCTGAGCTCAGTGCTGAGGTTGATGAGTTTGCAGGTGCCCTATACAGTGCACAATACAGAGCCCAGAAGTACCGAGGCTGCTTATGTTCTGAGTCAGAGGAAAAGCTGGTTTCTCATTCCACCCAGTGTAGCTAACTTAGAGTCAACATTTTGTTTTACTTTTTGCTCACATTTCTAGAGATATGGCTCAAGGGGTAGATCAGATATACAATCAATACACTACTGTAAAGGGATCTGATATTTCCAGTGAAAGTGCATAGCGTTAGCCTTAGATCTGGGCAGTCACTGTGCAGCCCTTCAAGGGATTAGAAGACACAGCCACCTGTCCCTCGTGGGCTGGAGGTTTCCTTGGTTTTGTCCTTTTCTAGTTTGAATCTAATGATCAAGTATAGTTTACTTTTGTTGGAGAGTTGTTCCTTGCACTTTTTTTCATGCTGCAAATGTGTTCCTGAAGAGTTGAATTTTTCCCCCTTTGGGCTGAATCTTATTTTTAGAGCACTTGCTATTGGTTAGGAATTATTTGACAATTTAACAAAATGTTGCTAAAGTAAAGGAAATCATTCACTGTTTCTTCTTGTACTTAATCTGTCAGTGCCCACTACCTTATGGCTCGGCTTTCCAAGAGTTACTCTTTCCTTTAATGCTTAAAAAAAAGTGGCTTAAGTTCCCCATACCTTGCACTGTAGAAATCCTTGGCTTTCCCCAAGATTTTAGAGCGGCTTTGTTCAATATACAAAGCCTCATGCACAATCCCAAATATTCTAATAGCTGTATTGGAAATGTGAGAAGGGACAGGTATAATTCATTTCATAATGAATACTTAGTTTAGCTCTATGTATTGAAAATATGATTCGGATTACTATAAGATGATTGAGTTGCTGGCTTTTGTTCATTGTAGCTTAACACAGCAATTGGGACTCATCCTATGTTGAATGCTCAATAGCTATTGTGGATGGTGGGCACCATTCTGGACAGCAGTTTTAAGTAAGATTCCTCTAGATGTGTATTCTTGGGGCCTCTCACTCCACACTCTTCATGGTGCCAAATTCTTGGCCTTCCTGTGGGAATGCTAAGCCTCTTTCAATGCTTCATCTCACACTGGCCATCACTCCTCTTCCTCCATTTCCCAAAGAATCACTAACCCCAGGCAGATGTTTTCAGCAGACTTTACTGACTGTCTGGGAAATGGGGGAAGGTTCTGCTATGGACTGGAACAGGCAACAGTTGCTCTCAGGCTTTCTCCAAAACAATGAATTTCTCATTGGCCATGACCCATCCTGCCTCCCTCCATCTTTTTCCTTCTGTTTTCTCTTTTTTCAATTAAAAGGCTTAATTTTAGAGCACTTTTAGACTTATGGGGAAAAAACCCAAACATCCCTGTACAAGGCAAGGCCATTTTTCATACTTGTTCATATCTTCCTTTGCTGCCATTTTGGTATACCTCACTCTCCACAGAGACCCTCTTCTGCAATCTGATCAGATCAGGGCAGGTTTCCATAGGGTCTCCACAAGTCAATGAGGCTGGTTCCTCAGAAGCAGCAGCAGTGTCCCACCTCAGGAAGGCTGTCTTCTTCCTCACACACAAGATCCTGGCAGCAGCTGAGTTCTCAGACAACAGTTTTGTTTTCTTCCGGTTACATCTGAAGTCTAGTAATGTTCAGATAGTGAGCAAGCCAGTGTTCTGGGAGAGGAAATTTTGCACAGGCTAAAACAAGCTTGGACTTTTGATCAATGGCTTGATCAGTGCTGACTGTAAGTTCTTCCTGACACTCTCCCCTGCCCCATGCCTTTTACACACACACACACACACACACAAACACACACCCCCACACACACAGACCACACACACACACACACACACACACACACACACACACACAAACACACCCCCCCCACACACACACACACATCACATTGACAGAGCCTCCTTTCTTGAGTGGGGCAGAGGCTATTTTCTGCAGTTAAAAAGATAGTCCTAAATGCCTGTAGCAATTTTAAAAAATGTGTGGATGCTTTTTGTTTAAAAGTGGGTCTTGAGGGGGCTGGAGAGATGGCTCAGTGGTTGAGCCCCGGCTGCTCTTGCAGAGGACCTGGGTTCAATTCCTGGCACTCAGATGGCAGTTAACAGCCATCTATAACTCCAGTTACAGGGAAACCCAACACCTTCTGACCTCCACAGGCATTGCACAATATGGGTGCACTTACACACATGCAGGCAATACACTCATACACATTTTTAAAAAAAAAGCATGTCTTGAGAGAATCGAGAACACCGAACATCTTATTTGAGAACTAAACAAGCAAAATCGTGAGAAAGGGCTGCTGTCAAGGACTGAGATTATAACACATCCTAAAATCAGTATTTAGTATCCACAATATTCTAAATATTAGCTCTAATAGAATCAGGGTTGTTGAACAGGAATTTTGCTGGTGAGCCCATCTCATTTCCTGAAATGTCTGATGTCTTAAGATCTGTCAGCTCAGGAGTTTTATCATTTACCGACTGGTAACTGCATAACTACTCCATGCTGACTGTTATGCGAAATTCAGAGACTAGAATGAGTCAACACACCATGTTTGTATGCCAAGAATTCAGAAACCTTTTTGAAGAGACATCAGTAAGTTACATCTATGATTCAAATAAGTGATGTGATGGGCAAATTTGTATGATTCAGACTGGAAGCTGTGAGAGCCAGGGAAATAGAATGGTAGAATGGTAATTTTTATTTTTATGTGTATGAGTGTATTGCCTTCATGTATGTACATGGACTCATGTCATGCAGTGCCCATGGAGGTCAGGAGAGTTCAGAAGAGGATGTCAGAGCCCATGGAACTGGAGTCATGGATGGCTGTGAGTCATCATGTGAGTGCTGGGAACCGAATTCAGGTTCTCTGCAAGAGCAGCACCACTGAGCCATCTCTCCAGTCCCAATAAAATTGTCTTTCTTGAGTTATTTTTGTAGTCCATCTAATTTCATGAAGCCAAAGGTATTTGTAACAAAGAAATGTCCATTTTTTAGGCCCTCAGAAATGGTATCAAGCCTCAAATTCAATTATTCTGTTCAGCATTTCTTTTTTATATTCTTAGTATTTTTCCCTCAATTTGTTTATATACAGAGAAGTGACGCTGATATTTGCTTTACGGTACTGTTATACACTTGTGTTTTCAAATAATTTTAATTTTTAATAAGTGAGCTGATTTGAAAAGGCCTTAAGAGGTTGAGGGGTGTAGTTCAGTTGGATGAGTGCTTGTCTAGCATTCATGAAACCCTGGGTTTGATCCCCAGCACTATATAAACTGGTCATGCTGGTGAATGCCTGGGAATCCCTCAGGGTTACACTCAGATTGTGGAGGCAGGAGAATCAGGAGTGCAAGGTCATCCTGTGCTGTATAGTGAATTTGAGGCCAGCCTGGAATACATGAGACCTTGTTTTAAAAAATTACATTAAGGAAAAAGTATTATTGAAACACGGCACATGATGGCATATGTGGTACTTGGGTGACACTGGGAAAGTTTGAAAGTATTGGTTTGGAATTCATAGTGGTAAGGTGGTCATTGTGGTAGCCTTGGGAGTCCACTTGATCACCTTGTGACTGACAGCTACAGAGAAGTAAGGCAGCTGCCCTGTTTTAAATGGTCCTAAGCTTTTAACTGCTGTGGTGATTTTG